TTGAGGTATACCTATGATGAAAATTACAGGCCTCTCTCATCTTTTTAAGTGGGAGAACATGCACAATTGGTGGCTGACTAAATACTTTTTTGCCCCACTGTAGATATAAGTGCATACCAAATAAAAATACTAAATATGTAAATATCTTTCTTTATCCTACAAGCTAGCTTGTAGAATAGCCATCATTCATAGAGAAAATGAAGCATTAATTAGGCCCCAAAACAGAACACTTACAGTATCTATCCAAGTATACTGTGGCCACCCACTTAGAGGGTACAAGGAACTATAGTGAGCCACCACTGACAAATGCAATTAAGCAAAAAACTCCCAATAAATAATCAACTATTTATCGATTCCTAAGGAACAGGAGGAACAGGAATCAATAGCCAAACAAATAATTCCAAACAGGAGTTTTTATAGTTTAAAGAATAAACAGTGACAATTTGTATCCTCAATATTAGCAAGGTCTATTTTTAACATGCTGCAAAATATTCAGAATGCACTCTGTTACATAAAGTAATGTTTTTCTAATTGAAGTAACTTGTTTAGTTTTCATTTCCACCCAATCTTTCTTTTCAATTGTAAACATAGAATCCCAAATCACATAATTGCATAATAAGATATTCCTAGCAGTTGTTTCTAGCAGACAAAAGAGACATGCACAGATGAGCTCATTCTCAACTGCCTGCATTGCACAAGTTGACAATCCCTTGCCATTCACAAGCAAACTGATTTCCATTTATCTAGTATGCATGTGTTGGTAAGCACCCATCCCATATCTTGAAAGAAACAGATCACACATAGCCTTTTTTTTCTGATGTATTCACCTGCCACAGCAGAAATAAATCAGTATATCAGATTGAATGGAGCCGCCTTGCATTTTGCAAACTTTTTTTTCCTACATACAACTGTTTGGCAAGATCCACAGCCTTCTTGAGAGCTGTGGCTTCCAAGACTCACCTGCAGCTTATCACCAAAGGAGAGTTTGTAGATGACATGTGTCATATCAGGATTCTGGGGCTGTGCAGTGGCACTATGTGTTGATACATGAAAATTTCCTGGAACCTAAAAGAGAGGAAAGTTCAATTTCTGTTGTGCTTAAAGTTCTCAGCAACTAATGTTCGATGTGTAATTTGAATCTTCAAAAACACTTATAATACCTATAAGAAGCAGGATAAGCAATGCCTGAAATGTTTTTACAATTAAGTTCCCCCTTTAAATGTTCATTTAATAATTTCAGCCATGCAGGAACAAATTGCAGGCCTCAGCAGAGAGCTGCTTATCTAAGTTCACACAGCAAAGAGAACAAGTTATATGCATACAACTATTCCAACCTGCCTTACAAAGCAGCAGACTAGGACCTTTCCAAGTTGGTTGGTTATTGGGAAGGGCCCCAAGCCATCACTCAATGTAACTTTATTTCTTTAAGTGGATCCATTAAGATTCCTAAAGGCAGGAGGTCAAGACAGTATATGTAGCATTCCCTCCCTCAATGTTTACCCTGTCAGCCACAATCTGGTGAATATGTTGGACTTAGCAAAAGTGATTGGCCCAAAGTTATCCAGAAAGTTTCCATGGCTGAGTAGTTTTAAACCTGAGTCTCACCAGGTTTAACTAGTGAGGTTTAACACCTTATCGATGTTTCCACTTTAAAAATGAAGTAGATTATAATAGAAATTATTTGTTAGAAGGTTCCAGCCACAGAATGCTGGCATCTTCCTTCCTAAGGGAATCTGCTACTGGCATTTGAATAAGTATAATGCCTAGCTGTGAATTCATCTACACATAAGCACCTTATCATGTTACAAGCTAAGACCTCACTATAATCCACATTTCTCACCACAATGTTGGGAAAACAAGTCAGTTCTTTAAAGCAGTTCTTTATACTCCCATACAATAAGGGCGGTCTGAGAAAAATAATATTCCTCTTTGAATTATAACTGAACCAGAGAAAGTGAAGAACATGAATTTTACTTTTTGTTCCTGAATACAAGAAGGAGGGGAGGAACAGGAATTAGTAGCCAAACAGGAATAAATAAATATTAATAAATATTTTATATTTTAAGAGCAAAAAAGTGCACTGGACATTTCATGTTTTGCAATTAGTCACCAAACATACCAGCTAATATGAAAAACATTGTAAAGGAAATAATAATCACACTCTATCAAGAGAAATGTTTACACTACAAAATGAGCAAGAGTGATCAGCGCACCATTTTTAGGCGTGCTCTAACATGAATCAATAGGAAGAAGCAGTACAATTTCATAGCCTGTGGTGCAAAAAGAAGGCATGAGTTAGCTATACATCTTTATTATACCAACAGCATGCTACACACTCCTTCTCCCCCACCCTATGGAGTCACAGGTGGCCTTATATGGCTGGATTATCTAATGCCACCACACCCATCTCACAAAGCAGGCCTGGTTTTTCATGACTGCTAATGAGTGAAACTGGGGCTCTACTCCCATCCTGAGAACTGAAGATCCTCGTTCTTTAACATCAGAATGCTTCTTCCCATCAGGGTGGCATTCTTTATTAGCTAAGAAGTACTTGGAACAGAAGGCAGCATTGTACTGCATGAGGTTAAAGCTCTTTGCACCGTGATGACTCATAAGCCAGAAGATACAGTGTTTTGATGAGAGAAGAGAAAAACCAACATGCAGACATGTTATGCTCTTCAGCAAGTCAGAGTCAACTCTAAAGCAGTTCCAAATGTTACACTAATGATACTCCTATCATTTATGAACCAAAAATTGAATCTATCAATATAACATTATTTCCTCTTTCCATCATGCTCTTTGCTTCAGTAAATAATCCAATTTTCTTTCCTATATTCTTTTAGAACTCGGGCTACTGCATTTAGTCAAAATACATTTCTAGTTTAATTGATTAAAGATGTGCCCTGCAGTTAATTACTAAATTCTAAAGCAGTGTTTCTCAACCGTGGCAATTTTAAAATGTGTGGACTTTCAACTCCCAGAATTCCCCAGCCAGCTTTTCTCTTCTAAATTATTGTTGATTCATATGCAAATCCATGCAGTTTTAATCAATCAATTAGCTGGGTAACAGTCCTACTTGTAACAGAGTGTATTGATAACAGTTTGTTGCTGCTACTGCTATTTAGGCTAGTTTGAAACTAATTATTTATTTAATCACACAATCATATGTGCATATCATAGAACCACAAAGTTGGAAGGAGCCATTCAGAGCATCAGCTCTAACACTGCTTAATCCAGGAATCCAAATTAAAGCATTCCAATCTAACCTCTGCTTGAATATACCTGGTGAAGGGAAACCCACCTTATCTAAGTAACTGGTTGCACCATCAAATTGTTCTTAGCGTTAGACAGTCTTTTCCTAAAATACATTTGGAATGTGTTTTCCTGTAACTTATATTCATTATTCCATGTCCTGTACTCTGGAACAAAGATGAACAAATCGTGACTTCCTTTTCTGTATTTTTTTTTCAGATGTTTTAACAGTATTACTTTATTTCTCCTCAGTCTTCTCTTTTCAAGCTTAAACATTCACAATTCCTTCAATCACTCTACAAAGAACCTTATTTCTAGTTCCCTAACGATCTATGTTACCCTCTTCTGACCTTGTTCAGTTTGTTTGAATCTTGCAATGCCTAAACTTTAGTCTAGATGGGTACCTGAGATGGGATCTGAATAATGCCCAATAAACTGGAACTACTATTTTCAGTGATTTTGGAAAACGTACTCCATTGATACAGCACATTTGCCCTTTTTTACAGCCATATTTCACTTCTGACTCAGACTCAGTTTGCAGTCAACTACTATTCCAAAGCCTAACTATGAGGCAGCATTTACTTGGCCCTGGCTGATCGCGAAAGTTATGGAAAGTTAAATACTGTACGGTCTGTACTTGGAAGAAAGACCCCCAGGAAGTACCAGAAGCATAGACTGGGGAATCACAGGGATTAAAAAGCAGCCAATAAAATCACATGGATTTGAAGTTGAGCTCCTCTCAGAGAGGGCTTAGGCTTTATTTTTATTATTCCAAGGTACTGGTAAGCATTTCATCTAAATCATTAATAAAAATGTTGAAGGTACAGGATCCAGGACTCAATGTTATAGCTCTCCTTTCACTGTCTCCGTCCAGTTTGATAGAAACCATTAATGAGTACAACATAAGCTGCTGAGACTCTTTTTGATTGCAGTGGCACAGAAATTTGGTTAATTATTACAAGTTTCAGTCAGCTATGTTCATCTTACTGTTGTGCCACCCAGTCCAAATTTAACTAGCATGCTAATCAGAAAATTATGGGATACTTTGTCAAATGCTCTGTAAAATAAATCCACAGCATTTGTACTATCTGCTAGGGAAACTACCCAATGAAACAATGAGGAGAGTAGTCTGGTAAGGCGTGCTTTTGACAAATCCACCCTGACTTCTGGTAATTATCACATTTGTTTCAAGATTCTTATAGGCTGATCTCTTATGACCTGCTGTAGACTGTTTTGTAGTTCCTGGAATCCTCCTTTTCCCCCTCCTCAAACATACCGGCAGTATTTGTACTTCACCTGTTCCTCTGGTATTCCTTAAAGATAATACATCAGCAAGTTCTTCAGTACCCTAGAATATAATTAATTTAGCCCTAGAAATGTAAACTAAATATTCCATGATTGTGTTTCTAGCATCTTAGGCTTCAGCATTGCCTCTTTTATTCAATCATAAGTTTGCATAGCTCTGACTTTTCTTGGTACTTATTAACATTTTGCAGTCTTCAGTTTGCAGCTATATGCTGATTTGTTCCTTTTCCTTTGAACTTTCCCAAGGAAGTCTTTTTAGTTGTCCTTAGCATTCTTTGTATTGAACAAAGTTTTCTGACACTCTCTCCACAGTTTTGAGCAACCTATCCCCCCTCTTTTTCATTTTCTTACTATATGTGTCCTTTGTTTTCACATCTTCATTAAGTTTTTGGTCTAATCACACTGGCTTCTGTTGCCATTTTTTTTCCTCACTGGAATCATCTGCAATTGTGCTTTTAGTCCTTTTTTAGGTACATCCACTAATCTTGAGAGTTTTTTCCCATTAGCTTCTTTTGCCATGGAATCCTATTTATTGGTGCCCTGAGCTGTTAAAATCCACTTTTTTGAACTCATAACTTTTCTGAAACATTCCTGCTACTTCCAGTTCCTCACTTAAATTGAAGTCCAAGACAGCTAATCTTCTTTTGATTCCCCCCCTGAAGGAAAACGTTGCCATTAAAAGAATTTCCTGGAATGGCCAATTCCTGGCAGAGTTTGTCTCCCAACAGAGATCAAGTCCCCCATCACTACTTATTTATGCCTATTTGAAAAATCTGCAATTTGCTTTTGGAAAGCGTCACCCTCATCTTCTCCTTGCTTGAGCAGGTAATAAGAGACACCAACAACTATTTTGTTTTTATTCATTCTTCTACCCATTTTAACACATAATTTTGCCATGTTCATTTACTTGGATTTCTGAACAGGTGTGGACACTTTAAACATAGAGTCCAGCTCCTCCCTTTCCGTTGCTTCTGTTTCTTTTGAACAAATTGTAGCCTTCAATTGCTGTATTTCAATTGTGAAACTCATCCCACCACTTCTTTATTACACTGTCATCATATTTTCTTTCTTGTACTAAGCACTGAATTTTACTTCCCATAATCTGAGTGATAATATGTACAGAAAGAGGCCATGAACTTTAATGAGTTAGTGTTCTTCCTTCTTTTTCACAATTTAATAGGACCCATTACAGTTCCTACTTCTTTCTATGGTGCACATGTTTACTTGAGGCCTTCCTTCACTCTAGCCCTAGTCCTGCAGGATACAATTTAAAGCTCTCCTAATGACACCCACCAGGCTTCTGTCAAATATATTTGTACCAGTCCTTGTGAGGTGCAATCCATTCTATGCCAATCTGATCACTGTCCTCAAACAACACTGCGAACACTATTTACATAGTTAATGATCCATTTGCAGTATTCTTCTTTTCCTTTCCAGTCTCCTTTGTGGACTACAACACAGACGAGAATACCACCTGAATCCCCCAGTGTCTTGTGCTTCGTTCCCAGGTCTTGATGATGATATGATTGTAGTTGTTTTTGTCAATATCATCTGTCCCTATATAGATTAGTAGGAAGGGATAACTGCCTGTGGACTTGATAGATCTTGGAGGTTGTTCTGCCTCTTCCTTGATGTGTGCTTCTGACAATATAGTTAATAAGCATATGGATCTCATTGGTACGCATTTGTTTTGGTTCTTCTTACTAATGAATCCTCAGCTACCATAGCTCTTTTCTTTCTTGCAGGGCACAGCTGCATCCCTTCTGTCCATTCTTTCTGCTGTTCTACAGTGTCTTTTCCCCACTTAGAGACTATTCCTTCTGCAAGAAGCCTGTTTATTGTGAACAGTAAAATAACAGCCAAGAGCATGTACATATTAACATTCCTTGCCATATCTCTTTGTTCTCCTGCCCTTATGTCTGACATGTAAAGACAGTTTCATATGCTGCAGCTATTCCATATGCTTTGTACACAAATATCATAACCACACAGATGAGGCAGATTCATGGTTCCTTACTATCTAGTTTTACCCAGAGACTCCACTCTTATGTAATTGAAAGGGCAACATCAATCTGGTATTCTCATCTATATTAATCCACTGTATTAGCACTAGAGAACTGGTTTCCATTATAGAGAGGCAAAGATGAGACAAACATAATATATTAGGGATAAATACATACATATTTTCTTCCTAGCATTTTCCCGCAGGTACAGGGTCCCCTTTTGGGGTGGGGGGGGGATCAACTGAATGTTGATCCATTGGTTGCAACAGGAATTTACTGGCTTTTTGCCCAAGCCTGATGTCATGGGCTGAGATAGAGTGACAGACCCAAAGTCACCCAGCCAGCTTTCATGCCTAAGGTGGGACTAGAACTCACAGGCTCCTGGTTTCTAGCCTGGTGCCTCAACCACTAGACCAAACTGGCTCTCATAGATATATATATATGCCTTTGAGTCAGTGTTGACTCCTGGCAACCCCTGGACTAGTCCCTGCAGTTTTCTTGGCAAGGTTTTTCAGAAGTGGTTTGCCACTGCCTTCTTCCTAGGCCTGAGAGAGAGTGACTGGCCCAAGGTCACCCAGCCGGCTTTGTGCCTAAGGCGGGACTAGAACTCACAGTCTCCCAGTTTCTAGCCTGATGCCTTGATCACTACACCAAAGTGGCTCGACAGGAATTGGGTGTCTTATTTTACTCCATTTCAGCTTGCCCACTTGTCATTCTAGTGATACTGTCTTTGTTTCTGTACTATCTTTGCTTTGTTTGCAAAATATCAAGATCAGCATGGAAGTAAATGGTGTTTATTAACAAGTCATTTCAAAATATCAGGATGGGATATTTTCTTGCTAAGCACTCCAACTGTTGCTTGAAACAGCAGAATGGAAAATCTACTTAAATGTACACTGCTTCATCTCATGGCAACATTCCATGGAACAGAGACAGAAAATCAAATGTTTTTTTAAAAAGATTCTGATTTCCTGGAACCAAAGTTATATGAAAACTGTCAACCAGGACACTTCTTTAGGAAGAGGTTCAGATTTCATCAGCTATTTCTGTAATACATTACTCTTATTATGAGTAAGAAACAGTTGCAGATACCTACGCTATTAAAGGGCAAACTTAACACCAAACCTTTCTTTCTTCATAAATAACAACTTTTACACCTCATTTCTTCACAATCTGGGGGCAACTTTAAACAGCTTTCTTCCTTCCACTACAGTGTATGATCTAAATCACAGTTCTTGCAGCACATTTGACTCTATAGACATACAAGCAGTTTCTTGTAAAAGCTTGTCAACATTTCCCCTGGACGGTTTCAACCTTACTTGCCTTGTTGATGCTGAAATGACCCTCAAATCTACATCCATCTCCATTATTCAGAGGAATTTTCATCGAGTTATCAATATGGCCAACTTCATGTCTTCCCATTTCATCCTGAATATCCAATCCAATCACTACGGTTCAAGGATCAGGTACGAAAAGATGAAGAAAGAATTTGTTATAAATGATTTAAGACAAAGACATCTACTGTATTTCCCATTGTTCCCATTGACCCCATATCTAGAGGGCTGAATAAATGGAATATAGCTTTTGCTTCCCCCAAACCCTCTCCAATATAATCCCATTTAAACAATGGCACAACTGGCAAAAACTAGAGTTCATTTTTATAATTCCACCAATAATCACTAGGAAGATAGTTTTAGCTACTAGATAATTTTTATTTCCTGGCTAGATCTCTGGAAGGGCCTGAAGACATGGCTTTGCCATCTGGAGAACCAGTAATATGGGTATGGAGCCTGCAAAGTGGCTGTATTGCTAGTGAAATTGAGTGTGCTATCCCACAGACTATGTTTTTTTTTAATGGTTTTTAATGTTTTATTGTTTTTAATGTATTTTAAATAATTTTTGTTGTTATGGTTTTGGTTATTATGTTGTATTGTTTTTGTGTTTTTAATTTTGTATGCCGCTCAGAGTCACATATGTGAGATGGGCAGATATATAAATTTATAAATAAATAAATAAAGTATAATAATACTTATATACAGTATTGTCTTGTTGGACATCATGGGAGGAAGACAGCCAAAGCTCGGCTATACAGGGAATGAGCTAGTAGAATATGCCATATATCATCTTTGCCATCAGAAAATGCTTCTCACGTTCCATTACATTCCATGTTCCTACTGTAATTCTATCTTTGCAACTTCAGATTTTCTTTTCTTGAATGGCAACATCAGGAAATAGATGTCCCAAAGGCTTTAATCTAGCCATGTCATACAGTGGGGCAAAAAAGTATTTAGTCAGCCACCAATTGTGCAAGTTCTCCCACTTAAAAAGATGAGAGAGGCCTGTAATTTTCATCATAGCTGTACCTCAACTATGAGAGACAAAATGGGGGGAATAATCCAGAAAATCACATTGTCTGATTTTTAAAGAATTTATTTGC